CCATTAAATGAAAAGAAAGACTTACGATTAATAGAGAAATCGAACTTGAATCCGAATTACAAGCTTAGTCCAAGAGCAATCAAGAAATCAAGGTGAAAGATGGAGTTTTTGGAGAGAAATATAGAAAAGAACGATATTGAGGATTATTCCCTAAGTTTGGGGTGTCATTCCAATATATAGGGCTCGAAAAACTGAGCAAAAACGAGAAAAAATGAAGAAAAATAAAAACAGAGGTCGACTCGGTCCCGACTCGCAAGTTGACTCATGAGTTGGTAGGGTCTGGCGCGGTCTAGCGCGGGGCTAGCGCGGGGCACTAGGAGTTGGCACGGAGCTGTCACGAGGCTGGCGCGAGACTGCGCGCGCGCGTCGCGACCAGCTGCCCGTGCAGCCTCTGAAAAAGTCGCAGGTCGCGAACGTCGAGGTCGCGGGTCGCGCATCTGATGGTGCTAGCGTGGGGTGCGGTCGCAGGTTGCGGCTCAGGCTGCACTGCCACTTTACGTTTCGGCCTCGTTTGAGCTCGTCCAACCGTTTTTTCCTACGCGTCGCTAATGAACCTGTCTATTCAATTATGCTCTCGAAACCAATTTTTACTGTTGAGAAAATTTGTCCGAAGCTCCCGACCTACACACCAAAAACGACAAAACACGAAGAAAACCAGAAAAACAAACGAAAAAATCTAAAGACCCAAAATGAAGAAAAACACATAATAAAACACGAAACGGACTAAAAACGAAAGAAACGGCCAAAAACGGGGGAAAAAGAAAACAAAACACGCACGAAAAATGCAACAAAAATGGGTCAAACAAATCTCACCAATAAATTCCTCCTGGTTTGTGGGATATCTTCTTCATCGTCTCTAGTGATATTCTTTCTCGTTTCTTGACGAAGAGGTTCGAGTCTGCTAATACAACAAAATATCCACATTGAATTAAGGATTCAGCGATCTAACCGTACCATGCTCGTGGCGCCTGCTTTAACCCGTATAGGGCCTTCTTTAGTTTGCACACGTAGCCTGGATTCTCGTTATCCTTGAACCCCGCAGGTTGGACCATGTATATTTCTCTGTCGAGTTCTTTGTGTAGAAATGGATTCTTCACGTCTATCTGCCACAACTTCCAGGACTTGCTTGCTATCAGCGCTATCAGTACTCGAACTGTTGCGATTTTTGCCACTAGGCTAAATGTCTCATTGTTGTCTAGTCCATACTGTTGTGAGAATCCACATGCAACAATTCGAGCTTTATATCTTTCAATTGATCCGTCATGCCACCTTTTTATTTTATAAACCCATTTACAAGATATGGGTTTAACTCCATCCGGTTTTGGTACTAAGTCCCATGTTTCATTTTGCCTTAGAGCCATAATCTTCTCATTCATTGCTTTTATCTATTTTTTATGTTTAATTGCTTCTTCAAATATTTGTGGCTCATTTATACTTGTATCTTCTTCTAATGCTATATTGGCATACCTGGGATTTGGCCTCTTTTGTCTAGAAGATCTCCGTAGTTGTTGTGGACTTGCCGGTACTTCACTTTCTTGCTCTCCTGGTGGCTCAATCTCCTCGAGTTGGGTTGGCCTCACTTCTGGAGTTACTTCATGTACACCGGTCTGCCACGAACATTGAGTTATTCATGATGACCCCCCTTCCTCGTCTGATTCTTCCATTCTTTGAGTTTCTTCTAGAAGTTTTACCCATTTCTGAAGCTTATCCTCGATTTCTTTGGAATCTGGTAGCTCCAACTTCTGTGGTGTCCACCAAGAAGATGCTTCATCAAATATCATGTTGTGTGATGTGTAACACCGACCGGTTGATGGATCTCAGCATCTCCACCCTTTTCTTTGGCCGTCATATCCCAAGAATATGCATCTGATTGCCTTCTTGTCAAATTTGCTCCATAAGTAACTTGGTACGAACACGTAACAGACTCATCTGAAGACTCTGAAGTGGCTAACATTAGGTTTGATTTGCCATAGCTTTTAGAATGGTGACATGAATCCCAACTTTCCTTGTGGTAGCCGATTTATCACGTGGGCCGCCGTCTTCATAGATTATGTCAAGAACCTCGTCGGTTCGTTCTTTGCATGTATCATGCTTTGACAGGTTTCTGTCAGATGTCGATTTTTCCTTTCTTGCTATACCATTTTGCTGAGGTGTGTTTGGACACGTCAGCTGATGGTGTATCTTATGCTCCTTAAGAAATCGGGAGAATTCTCTTGGTGTATTCTCCTCTATTATCCGTGCGAAGGCATTGGATCTTATCTTCGACTTCTCTTTCAACAATTTCTTTGAAATCTGTAAACTTTGAGAATGCTTCTGATTTCTCTTTAATAAAGAATACTCAAACGTACCTTGAGAAGTCGTCGATAAATGTCACCATATAGTGCATATCGCTGATCGAAGGTTGTTTTTAACTGGCCAGAATATGTCAGAGTGAATTGTCTCTAGAGGCTTCTTTGCTCTATAGCTTTAATCTTCAAATGGTAGTTGATGTGCTTTATCATACTGACAGCCAGCACATATTGTGTTATCTCTTATTCCCAGTTGAGGGAGGCCCTTTAACATTGATTTCTTCATCATCACCTTAAGCTTATGATAGCTCACATGTCCAGCCCCGCATGCATAAGTCAGCCGTTTCATTCTTTCGAGTCTTATCTACATAAGCAGACTCTGCTTACATTACGTAAATGGACTTGAGCTTTTAACCCTCCATGATCGGGGTACCGATAATTTTGAGGTTTTCGTACACCTTGACATTATTGGGTCTGAAAATAACATAATTTCCTGAAGTTGTCAGTTGTGATACTGATAGAAGATTTTTCTTCATACCTAGGACATGATAGACGTTCTACAGTTGCACTTGACCATGACTAAACTGTTGGGCGATGACTGTCTTGCCAATATGGGCTATTGGCAACCTTGAATTGTTAGCAGTGACAACCATCCAGCCTCCCTTGTGTTCAATTGTGTTATGCAACTTTTCCTTGTCTCCTGTCATATGATTGGAGCATTCCGAGTCCACGATCCAAACATTTTCATAATCTATTCGTCTAGGGACAACAACAACTAATGTCGTCTCTTCATTTAGACACTAACTGCTTTTTTCACAGTAATTTGACCTTAATTGTGGCTTGGACACTGACTGATTTTATGAATTCATATTACTAGTACGTACCCCGTGCGATGCGCAGACAGAGATATTAAATGAGTTGTTTTCACACCCTTGTCCGTTTAAGTCTAAAAAATAATAGGGTTATTATCTATTTTCTACCACTTTTAATCAACGTTAAGTCTAAAAAAGTTATTACAAGTTCTTTTCCACATCTTTTAACCAGCGTTGTTTTTTAGCCAGAACATTGAATATGAGCATGTTAGGACTAGCTTGTAAAATAATTAATATATTATCTCACTAAAACATTTATACTAATAAAAATTTAATTTTAGCATATAAATTTATCCCTTGATATAAGAGAAAGTAACAGTTTTACACTTTTATTTATTGTTGTTCACTATATAATATTTAATTATTATTTTATTATATAATAAAAAGGAATACTGTTAAATAGTGTAGTAGAATTGTTATAAAATTATATGAATTATTTTTTTAACAATATGGATTTAGTATTTTTATATGATTTGATAATATAACTATAATATATTCTTAATGATACAATCTGAGATCGGATTACAGAATTTCAATACATAAATAATAAAAATTTTGGTAAAAAGATAAGAAAGAAATTTCAATTTCAATCTACAAAAAGTTTAAAACGATTTTATGGGATTTTGTTGACTAAACGGATTGTATGGGATAAAACGAATAGAAGATAAGAAGGATTTCAAATATACAAAAAATAAAAGCCGATTTTGTGGGATTTTTTCGCAGGAAACCCAATTGTATGGGAATAGTAATAGCATTAATTGAATCGCATAGCATTAATTTCAATATAAAATAATTAAATAAAATATATACTGCAAATAGTAATAACATTAGTTGCAGTTGACTTTTTTGGATATTATTTGTAGTAAATAGGATCCCTTTTTATATAAGTATAGATGTTGGACATTGACTGCTTTTATGAAATATTATATTGCTTGGATAGATAAAATATAGGGCCAAAAAGTTTGCCACGTAATATTTATGAATTAGATGAAAATATAATTAAAAATATAAAATAATTGCTGCAACTTTCATTTTTTATTTGGAAATATAAAATAATTAGAAATATAAATATATAGTGATTAATTATTTTTCTTTCACTTTATCATTAAAGGAGCTAGAATATTTATTTTTTAAATTTATCAGATTGGATGTAATGTATATTTTGGTATGTTTTTTATTGTGAATTATTTATTATTTATTTAGGAATTTCAAATACGTTTTTTATTTTAAAAAAAAAGGTTAATTTAAATGTAACCACAATAATAACATATAATCACATTATACGGACAATATTATATGGTCAACTGTCAGTAATCAAAATTTTAAAATGATTTTGATAATTTTTAAGTGATTAGTGTATTGATTATTTAATAATTAAATGAAAGGTTAAATAAATTAGAAGTAACGGTTTTTTGAGAGAAATTGTCTTTATTGCCACATAGGTAAAATTAAATAAGATTTATTAAATATTTAGCAGGCAATTATACAGTTATAGATGTATAGATACCATGCGAAGCATTAGATATTTTTTTATTTATTTTAAATATTATTTTTATACACAATTTTATTATTTTTTTTATATATACTTCGTGTATGTGCATGTGTTTATGAATTGTTAGTGAAACAATGCTATAATAATGTTATTTACAAAACTTTCCTATTTTAGGTTTTAAAATCCAAACATGAAAGATGGAAAATATGTATTGAAGTTGGATGTTGTAAACTTATCCTTCTCACATTTTTTTTCCTACATAATAATTTTGTACACTAGTTCAAATTGTCCCAATTTAAAATCCGAACCATGAGTCAAACCAATGGAAAATCAGAATGAGGGAACCAACCACAGTCCACACGATAAAACACCGCACAGGGTCGGTCTACAGTCTACAGTACAGACTCTAGTTAAAAAATTTCCAGAATTTTAAACCCTAGTTGCTTTTACCAGAGTTTGACCTCTATTAAACAAATTGAAAAAGCATTTTGGAGTCCGGCAATACATACATGTTCAGTTGTTCGCACACTGGTAGTAGTCACTGAGAGAGACTCTCCTTTTTCGCCTTGCACCTCACTCTCCCTCTCAGACAAACCCACGGTACCCGTCTCAGTCGAACGATCGATCGCCGGCGATAGGTCGTTTCTCATTTCATTTCGCTCATCCTTCTATTTGGGCTACTTTCGTTTCAATCGGTCATTTCATGTGGAATAATACTTGCATTTAGTCTGAATCTGTATTTTATCTTTGAAATTCTGAGCTATTTTCTTGTATCTACACTCTCTTTGTATTTGTTTGGCGTTTGACGAGAACTTGTTTTTTTTCTTTTCTTTTCTTTTTTCTTTCCGGATTTTTTCATTAATTCTTTAGCTCTTTATTCTTTTTCCTTTTCTTTTTTATTTTTTTTATTTTTTGTAACAAGTGTGTTTTGATGTTTCTGATTAATACTGTTAGAACTTAGAAGAATACAGTTATATTTATATTATCTGATGCAAAAATGTATATGAAATTTGCTGTTGCACGACATTATATTAGTTATTAATCTTATAATTTAAATTTCAACATCTAAGAATAAGTAAATCCAAAATTTAGTTTCTCAAGCACCTACTATATATGTTGGAATCGTAGTAAAAACCATATCTACAGAAAGAGAGGACGATTCAAGTTGTCAAACTTATATAACTATATTTATGTGCACGTATATACAGTAAATATCCTGGAAGGTTTTTCCTTGTATTTTTTTCTCATCGGCAGGGTGTTGGTTGTGCGATTTCTGTCTAAACTTGCTAGTGCACTGTTATTTGTGTTTATTTTGATTCTTGAATATGAATATGTACGCCATCTTCTGTTTCATAAAGCTATTCTTGAAATGGTTATTTCATTTTCCTCCAAGTATATCTCTGTCCAGCTCTCCATGCCACTCCAAAATATTCCTTTTACCTTTATATTGCTCATGAGCGTTTGTGACTGGCCGTGTTTCTATCATAGTCAAATTTAGTCTGCTGCATTGATTAATATTGGGAGTGATGTAGTGGATTATATAAACATTTTACGGTATGTACTTTAAATCGAAACAACAGAAATAGTAGGTGTATAAATTTCTCGAATGTGGACTAGATCAAAATGGCTCAATTAAATTCTAGTGCTTCTTCTATTAGTGAAGTTTCTAGGAAAAAAAATATATCAAACGGCGCAATGCACCTTGGGTCGCTACGGAAACAGCCTCCTTGTATAATTACAAGGGTAAGGTCTGCGTACAACTGACCCCCCAGACCCCAACCTGTTGGGAATATACTGGGTATGTTGTTGTTGTTGTTGTTGTCTCATTTGAATTACCTTTTGGTGGAGTCTATACGAGTAAGTTGATTTTTTAAGAAGTTTATGCATCATGAATACTGTAAAGCGGTTCTGATTTCACAATCTACGACCGTTGGATTTTCTATTCTTAGTCTTATATGCCTATTGGCTATTGCAACATCTGTCAAAAGCTTTTGTTTGTTTTCCCTTATTAGACATAATTGTGCATGCCATCACTCATCTCTTCAGAGATGAGTTCAAGAAAAGGGGTTTTTTTATCCTTCCATAACTGCTACTTCTGATCTATCAACTAGGGGGAAAAGCACCTCAGTGGCTTTGTGAGTGGTATTGATCAGTTACTCGTTTGTCTGTTTCAGATATGGACACATTACTTTCTCATACTCTGTTCTCTTCCTTTCTTATTATCTTTCATTGTGACTTACGTATATGACTACATTTTCCATCAGAAAGATACATGTATATAATCCTCACAATCTCATTTCCGGAACTTCTTATCTGATTTAGTTGTGGTTGGGAAGGCAAATATAAATCATTATCTGGTTTCAGTGTGCATTGTATACTTTGCTGGCATGAGATTCTTCCACTGTTCTTATCTGCTATTTCTGGCAAGGTTAATAAAAAAGGAGATGATCAATCAATCAAGCAATCAATCAATCAACAAGCCGTTAAAATCCCACTTAGTGGGGTCGGCTATATAAATCACATATCGCCACCGTGCTTGATCAAAGCACACATCCTCATTCAAATTTAAATATTTTAAATCATAATAAAAAAGGAGAGAATGCTGATCCTAAATGGTGTTCTCGTTTTGTGCCTTGGGGAAGGCTAGAATTTAACTGGCGCACAGCTAAGTCAGCACTTTAAAAGCTCATATGAAAGAAGATATAAACTGTATTCAATGATAACTGTATTCTGATGGATAGGAAATGTCTATTTTGCTGCTAATTTGCTTGACCTGGTACTTTCCATGAATGCTTTGGTTAGAATTCTGGATATATATAATTTTTTTCTTATGAAATGTGTTCTTATTTGTTTGTTTCCAAGTTCATCTTTTACTATTCTCAACCCGCAGTTGCCTATAGTTTCAGCCTAGTTAAAGTTGTCTACTTGTGATTATGTATTTATTTGTTTTCCATTAACTTTTTCATGTACCTTCCCCTGTTTTCTCTATTATACTTGGTATTGTAAAGAAACAAGGATGGTGGGCATGTGGTTTCTATTCAGGGGTATGACATTGAGGGACTTTTATGTGGACTAGGAACTAGATGACGTATATCTTTAAGGGAAGCACTTCATCACAACATTGTTACTGTTAATTCATTTGGAAAGTTTACTCCAGGCTTCATAATTAGGCAATGATGACTTTTGTTGTCACTGTCAAGTTGTAATTTGTAATTGACAATGTTACTTGTGCAGTCTCAGATATGGATATGAACTCTGCACAAGATGAGGGATGGGAAGAATATGGAAAGAAAACTAAAAACAAAAATAAGAACAATGCAGGAAAGCAATGGGGGGCACAACAATCTAACACTAGGGCATGGGGTAACTCTGGTACCACGGAAAAACATGGATTGCAAGGTCATGCTGGGCTGGGAAGGGGTTCAGGACAGAACAGGCCTACACAACCTTCTGATTCTAGAAAAAACCCTGGCAGAGGGTATTCCAAACCCCATTTCTCTAACCAGACTCCTGCTCCTCACTATGGTGTACGTCCTGTTGCAATTCCCCCTCCTCTGAAAAATGGATGGGGATGGTCCAATAGGGCTACTTCCAGTCATTCCTCTAATGATAGCGTGGAAGCCCACAAACTTCACCCTATTAGCAATCAGACCCCAGTATCTGACGAAGTTGATGATGACGCTGAAGAATCTGAAGATGACATCGATGACAGTGATAGTGATGATGGTTTCGATTCCGATCAAAGCCAAAAAAGTCATGACACAAAGAAGATGAACAAATGGTTTAAGGAACTTTTTGTTTCTCTTGACGGGTTGACTGTTGAGCAGATTGGTGAGCCTGAAAGACAGTGGCATTGCCCGGCATGCAAAGGAGGCCCTGGTGCTATTGATTGGTATCGTGGCTTGCAGCCCCTCATCTCGCATGCGAAGACCAAGAGATCCAAACGGGTGAAGCTTCACCGGGAACTTGCTGCGCTGTTGGAGGAAGAATTAAAGAGGAGGGGAACATCGGCTGTGCCAGCTGGTGAAGTGTTTGGAAAATGGAAGGGACTTGAAGAAGAACCTGACAGAGAAATTGTTTGGCCACCGATTGTGGTCATCATGAATACCAGGCTGGAGAAAGATGACAATGACAAGGTATCAAGAATTTCACAGTAGTTTTTATTATTCTTTAACTGATTCCTCGATGTAAACTTATTGAGCTGATTGTACGCCAAGTCGTTCACATGTGCAATCTTCATTTTGCAGTGGATTGGAATGGGGAACCAAGAGCTTCTGGACTACTTCAGTGCATATGCTGCTCTGAAGGCCCGACATTCATATGGACCACAAGGACACCGAGGGATGAGTGTGCTGATTTTCGAGGCCTCGGCGGTGGGTTATGCTGAGGCTGAACGTTTGAGCAAGCACTTTGAAGACAATTTCAGAGACAGGGTTGCCTGGGCAAGAACTAAGGTTCCCTTTTACTCTGGAGGTAAACGCCAACTGTATGGTTACATGGCAGAGAAACATGATATGGACAACTTCAACCAGCATTCTCAAGGTGCTCTCTTATTAGTCTGTGTTACTTTTGGAATTTATTTTATTTTATTTTATGCATCCAGTCTTAATATATCTGGTAAGTACTATTTGAACATTTGCCATTTTTGTTAAATGGATTAGGTAAGACCAAACTGAAGTATGAGATGCGTTCGTATAAGGAAATGGTTGTCAGTCAGATGAAGCAGATGAGTGAGGACAATCAGCAGATCCATTGGTTAAAACACAAAATTACTAAAGAGCAGATGAGCAAGAAAGCTCTGGAAGAGTCTCTTGGTCTTGTGGCAGAAAAGCTTCGGAGGACCATGGATGAGAATCGGGTAGTGAAACTTAAAACTAAAAAACATCATGAGCAGAACAAAGAGGAGGTATGTTTACTCATTATGAAACTTGACAGTTGCAAGCAGCTGTTTTGTGGTGATATTATGGAATATTTACCTAGTTGTCTTTTCATGGTTCTTCATTTTTTTTGTAATTCAGAACCTTAATCAAGTTGTTTATGAAGCTTATAAGCTTAGAAATAAATAGTTTTTGTGCTTATTACATTTGAATTCAGTTTGTGCATTGGAGGTAGAGTCCAATTATGTCGACTCTGCAGCTGTTTGTTATGGATTCTTCTGCATCTTCAAGTGTCAATCAGTCTTCTCTTTTTTATTTTTTCAAGTCACATTGTATCGACTTTGTAGCTGCCTGCTCGTTTGTCAGTTAGTCTGTATTAATGCATTTTTTATACTTGAAAAAAATCATGAATCTAGATGGACAGCCAAGAAAAGTTCTTCCAAGAGCAAATCCAACAGTTCTACGATGCAAGAAATGAAAAGGAAGAGCTCTTTGAGAAACTCCAGCAGCTCGAACGGGAGAAGTTCACTCAGTCAGATGCAAATGCATCTCTTGGAGAGGACCGCCTTCGCAGGTAACAACATCATTCCACTTCTTATTTTCTGATGGTTGTTTTCTAAAGACCCTAGTTCAATTGTGGGGTTAATGTTTTTCAACTGCTTCTGCTGTTTTTGATATGTTGTGGGATTTGGTTTTTAGGGCTGAGGAAATTGACAAATTCATACAGCTGCAAGACAAAGAAATGAAAGAGTTTCAGGAGAAGAGGGAGAGTCTTATTAAGGCGCACGAGGGGAGGATGATGGAGCTGATGCGCCGTTATTGGGATGAGAAAATGGCTCTTGAGAAGGAACTTGATGAGGAGCTCAATAAGCTGATGGAGGAGTACGCACCTGGCCAGATTATCAACTGAGTTTCAAAAACTGGATAGCAGTTTTTAATTTGACTTGAGCAACACCCAAATTTGAATGAAACGCCAAACATTTAGTGAAATGCATGACAATGGCGAGACATTGGCTGATACCAATTGATAACCATATTTGACTTTGGAAATTTGACGATGCCGGGTTCTTTTGTTTGAAGAATTTAGCTGTTGCGCTCCTTTCCTTTCCAGTTTCTATTGTTTTCTTGTCTTGATTGTTTTTTAAATGCTTGCCAAAAATGGGTTTGCGTGTTTTTGGTTTTAGTATTAAGAAATTTCGCGGAATTAACCAATTTATATTCATGTTTCTTTTAATGTGACTACCTACTTTAAAGTATATTTTTATTGGAACTATATGTCTTATTCTTTCCTAGTTCACTTCATTTTGTGCCCTCTTCTTCCCTAATATGGTCCTTTTAAGATATCTTACAACACACATAAGGATAAGTGTTCAATAAATGAATTAATGATCATGTGTGTTCAAGAAGAAGCACGTTTGTTTATGGAAGAGCGTGAGAAAGTGAAAATGGCTACTTCTTGGGGAAAAAAAGATATTTTCAAGCCAAAGACAAAGGGTATGATAAAATTTCTCGCCATTATGGGAAATTAAAAAGGAAATCAAGTGTTTTTTTATACAAAAAAGAATCACGTAAAGAAAAATTGCCCTAAGTTCCAAAAGTGGCTTGAGAAGAAAGGTAATCAACTTTCTTTTGTATGTTATGAATTCAATATGGTTGATGTTAATCATAACACATGGTGGGTTGATTCTAGTTCTACAATCCATGTTACTAATTCCTTGCAAGGATTGTTAAACCTACAGAAACCAGTGGGAAATGAGCATAGCATCTACTCGGGCAACAAGATGCTCTCACATGTGGAAGCAGTAAGAACGTGCAAACTAATTTAAGTAGTGGTTTTGTTTTGTTTTTGAAAAAGATATTTTATCTTCCTAGTTTTGCTAGGACCTTGATTTTAGTATCTAGACTATTAAAGTGTGGTTTTTCTTTTAACTTTTCAAACTAGGTTTTTAGCAGTGTTCTAGAAGTCGCTAGACGGTCGACCAACGCCTAGCGCCAGCGCCTAGGCGGCGCCTAGAAATTAAAATTAAATAAATTATTTTTCATTTGTTTTCGCTACCTAGAAAATAAAACTATCTCAACTTATAATAAATCTACACATCTAAGTCTAAATAATAATATTAATATATTATAAAAAAAATAATATTATTTAAAAAGAAAAACTTTAAAATTGCCGCCTAGGCCTGCCTAGGCACTGCCCAGTCACCTGGCCCCCGAGCCATCTTAGGAGCCGCCTGTGCCAAATCGAAGGTGGCCGGGCAACGTTTAGTGCCTAGGAGGCCGCCTAAACCGATTTTTAGGATAGTGATTTTTAATTAATCTTTTCAATCAAATGTTGTTGGCAGTAGAATACTATGTGATGGTCTTTTTCGACTTAATTTGCAAAATGAGGATAATTATAAAGTTATGCACATTCAAAATAATGTTGGTATTAAAAGATGTTTTATGAATGAAGAATCCTCTATCATGTGGCATCGCAAATAAGGTCATATCTCCATTGACAGAATTAAGAGATTAGTAAGTGATGGAGTACTTAATACTCTAGATTTTTCTGATTTTGAAACTTGTATAGATTGCATTAAAGGCAAGCAAACAAACAAGTCAGAGAAAGGTATCAAAGAGGAGTTCTGAAATATTAGAAATAACTCATACGAATTTTTAGTCCTGATATAGATGCATTTCGTGATAAGTACCTTTATCGATGATTATACACGTTTCATGTATCTCTAGTTTCTTAACAATAAGAATGAAGCACTTGATGCTTTTAAGGTTTTTAAACTTGAAGTAGAGAAACAAGTAAATAAAGATCGTGAGATCAGGCAGAGATGTTGAATACTATGGTACATGGACGGATCTACCTTTGGTCTGGGCTGGGCTTCAGCCCAGATCTATTTTTTTTTAATAACTATTAATTTGAAAAAAAAAATATTGCATTCCTATAGTGTGATTGTTGTATATCATAGTTGGATATAAATTTATGATGTGTAGGCATTTCATTTTACTAATAAATTTGTCATATAAAAAAATCTATTTATTTGTATTGTGAAATTTTTAGAAATTCACATGGAGCACCAATCTTCGGCCAAAAAAGGAAAAACCCCATTAATATCATTGTTATTTAGAAAACGGGATCGATGTTAAACTAGTGAAANAGTTTTTAAAATTTTACCCCAATCTACTCTTAATTTCTGGATCTGTCAATGGTATTTTAGATACACTAGTGTATTGCAATAAAGATTACCTCTAATCTACATATATATAATTTCTTGCTAAGCAATAAATTTTACCTAATAAATTTTACCTATGTGGCAAATCATTAATAAAACCTAATAAATAGAACCTAATAAATTTTATTTATGTGGCATTAATACACCTTACATTCATCATATTTTCATGCATTATGAGTGATATATTGTGATATTAGGCCTTGGTTATCGTGTGATTGTGCACCATTTTGTTTGATTTATTAATCTATGATAGAGGTGTTTTTGTCGTTGGTTTTGCAGGAAATATGCCCGGAAAAGCATTAGAAATAGAATCGGGACGAAAAATGGCGAAACGGGTGCAGAAGAGGTCACACGACTCGTGTGGGTAGTGACACGGGTCGTGTGGGTTGAGAAAATAAGAAACGCAGCTACGGCTTTTTCACACGGGTCGTGTGGGTTGAGACACGGGTCGTGTGGTCTCACACGACTCGTGTGACCCGGTCGTGTGACCAGTCGTGTGAGTCTGGAAGTTCGCCGAAATGTTGAGAAAAGTCACACGACTCGTGTGGCATGTGACACGACTCGTGTGACGCGCAGACCTGATCAGCGGGGAATAGGATTCTTGTGCGATTTCTTCCCTTTTTCGACCCAGATTCGCCCTACAGTATAAAACAGACTTGAGGAACTTGTTTTTGGGACTTTTGACACCATTGGAGGCCTAGAGAAAGCACGAAACACACGAGGGATTCGAGGAAGTCAAGATTGAAGATTCGGGAACTAACGGCGACAATAGTTCTTCTTTCTTTTCTCTTTTTCTTCTTCATTGAACTCATAAATTTATTTATTTTGAGTTTTGAGAATATGTTTAGTAGCTAAACCTATTAGATTCTGGGATTTGTTAGTACTCGGATTAATCTATGATTTAGTTTTTATTTATTTCATTCCGGTTTATCTTTCGTTTATGAATTTCTTGTGCTTATTATTATTGTGTGAGTAGATGGCCACTATGAATGCATATTTGTAATTGATTTGAGACCGAGATGAGATAATTGATTGCTAGAATTGGGAGATTTATAACGTAAGAGAATAAACAGACCGAGAGGTTGATAGAACCTTGCGAGAGAACGAAAATCCTAGGAACTTATGGGAGTTAGTAGTTCATCTTGAGACCGAGAGGAGATGGATAACAATTAATATCTACGATTTGACTTGTTCGAGAGAAAGGTTTGAAATCAATTTAGCGATTATGTTTGTTTGAATATAAACATTTCATGAATTAATTCCGAGGAACGCTTAGCCTAGAATCTACCTTTTGTTTCTTTGTTTATTTTTATTTTTATTTTTAGTTAGATTAGTTCTTAGTTTAATTTTCTTAGTTAATAATCATCATCCAATTCATTCGTCTAGATAATATTTAGTCGTCATTATTTTAGTACTTAATTAATTTAACTACAATCTCTGTGGAATACGACCTTGCTCGCCACTACCTATAGCTACGCCGTACACTTGCGGATAGCGAAAATAATTAGCGAACAACACCCAATCTCATCAATAAGAAAATATTTCATTACATTTTTTGGGTTAATTAAGACAAAAACCATTATATTTTATGTTAATTGATTAATAATTATATTTTTTATTGAATAATATAATAGTTAATATTAAAATTAGTAATTATATTTTATACTAAATAATATATGAAAGTTACATAAAATTATATTTTACACTAAAATCAATATTTTTTTTATATGATGAAGATGTTGTTTATTAATAAATTAATTTTTTTTATGTCATAGTAAAATTTCTTAAAATCACATAATCTATACTTATATTAAAGGGAGTCCTATTTACCAAATTAAGTAGTCAGAAAAGTCAACAGCATTTATTGCATTACTATTTCCGTATTATACAATCTATACTTATATAAAAGGAGATTCTACTTATTATATTTACTATCCAGAAAAGTCAACTGTATTAAATGTCATTACTATTTTGGTATCATAATATTTTATTTATTTAATTGATTTATTTATTTATTTTATTTTAAAAAGGTAAGTCTAATAAAAAAAATTTAATAATAAAAAAAATCAAATACCAAATAAAAATGTACACTTTGACTTATTTGAATATATTTGGTATTTGATTATACCAAATATATTCCTATTTAGTATATACATTAAATACTTACTAAAGTATTTATTTGTTTTATTTGTCAAAGTTAAGTATAGATTTGTTTATATTATCAAATCATAAAAAAATATTAAATGCATATTGTAAAAAAAAAATTCATATAATTTATAACAATTCTACTACACTATTTAACAATATTTTTTTTTTATTATATAATAAAATAAAAATTTAATATTATATGGTGAACAACAATAAGTAAAACTGTTACTTTCTCTTATATCAAGGGATAAATTTATATGCTAAAATTAAATTTTTATTAGTATAAATATTTTAGTGAGATAATATATTAATTATTTTACAAGCTAGCCCTAACAAGCTCATATTTAATGTTTTAAAAGATGTAGAAAAAAACTTATAATAACTTTATTGTTTTTTAGACTTAAACGTTGATTAAAAGAGGTAAATATTCCTAATTTTTTAGACTTAAACATTGATTAACACCATAGATTGAGAGTTTATATTTAGAAAAATTTCTAATCGTAATAAAAAAATCAATTTTTGTTATATTTTAGAATATCTTTAAATTCATTATAAAAAAAAAAAAGAAAAAAAAACTACAATGAAAAAAGCAAGTCAGCTATATATCGATTTGTTGTACTCCTCAAATCATATTCACAATTTGGCTACAAGGAAAGGAAACTCATTGATTAAATTATTATTTTGTCAGTAGTCTTAATGTAAAAGAGACTTTAAGACTCCATTTGAATATTATAAACTTTTATTGAACCTTGTACAATTTTCTTGCGTATTATAAACTTTTATTGAATATTGCATCTTATAATATAATATTCTCTAAATAAATATATCTCGTGCTTCGCCCGGGTCACGTACTATATATATCCCGTATATTTTTCTTTATTCATGTATATAATTATAAG